TAATGACTCACAACCTTGAACCTCAAGAAAGCAATCAACAAACGTACACCGCGTCAGTAGACATCGGTGATGTTTGTACGGACTCGACCAATAACGCTAACGTCGTCCATAAAGCAGTGGCATAGCACAAAGAATCAAATTTTACGCACATTTCATCAGACATAAAGCGTCACTGAATTCATGCACATTCGCCTTGCTGCCTGTACGAGAAGCTCACGGATATCAAGAGTTTGCATTTGCATATCTTAGAAGAATAAGAAAGTTCATGTAGAAAAACAGTTTTTCTGTATCCGTTCGTAAATGAAACTTTGAATCACCCGTGTGCTTAGATTTGCCAACAAAGGACCCATGTGTGAAATAGCTATGAATATGAAATAGAAAAATAATCATTACACTCGCCTTCTTGAAGATGAGTTGATGGCCATAATCTGATAGTTACGATTGCCAGTGTTCATTGACTGAGGATGGCCAACTTGCTTAACCAAAACGTTGGCAGTAAAATAAATTAATGACCTAACATAGGTTTCCGGCTAGCGCCTGTAACCGTCAAATCATTACTCGTTATAATGGTAAAAATGCCAAACAATTGTCTTATGATTTTCGATTTAGATTTTAATAACTTAATTTCAATTATTTAAATAAGATTGAATATGTACTGTGCATAGCGTTTACCTAACCACTGGTTCAGATTTAATCGGTTTTGCCGTCGTAAAATAAAATGCAGCCATGACCCGCTTCAATGGGATCCGTGAGCTTCTAGAACAAGGAGCCATTGCGTCATTATCATATAATTGCATAACCTGATATAAGGATTGTATTGTCATGCACTACGGTGAAAATCAAAGGTTTTAAAAATTGGCATTCCGTTCCGCACCACTTCTGGCTTACTTTGTTTGGACTTGAGTTTCTTCCTCCATAAGTAAATAAGTCTGAATATAGAACGCCTTTGTGATACCGTTGCTACGTAATGTTACGTAATGCTGAAAAGTAGATTCCTTCTCGATTCACGTTACAGTAGCAATTTGTCTGTAATATGTATCGTCAAAAACAATATACTCAATGATAAGGTAGTTCTTATCAAACCTGCGTATCAAAGCCCTGGCCTGCAGATCGACCTGCCACTCGCTGGGGATGAGTGAATGATAACCATTACATATGGCAAGAACACATAATACGATTTGCTATGTACGCATGGCGCCCATTTTGCAATAGCTGCCTTTGTAAATACGTATGTTAGCTGACAGCAAGGAAGAAGGGTTCCAGAAATGAGAAGTATGGTAGCAGGCAGTGGCGCGAATCTTTCAACCCAAGTGCCTTCTCAAGACTGCTGTTATCCGTCTTGATCAATCCTGAATATGATCCCACATAGAAGCCTTAGAAATGACTTTCGACAAGCTGTGGAACATGGCACTTCGCGATGTTGTTCTTTGTAAGCTATTCCTTCCAAAGGTCGAAAGATCACAATTGCGAAAGTTTGAACACATGATAATGATGTCGTGTGATAGACTCGCAAGTCTACATGACTGGCGGCAGAAAGGCTAGATATCTCAATTATGTTGAATAGCTGGCATTATCCTCGGATGGATGACGGGACCATTTTAAAAGCCTCATGATGCTGCTGCCGTCGCACCAAGATAGACTAACTGGCCTTAGACATGAATGAGTGCCAAAGTGACAAGGGATATTCTTCATGGAAGTGTAGAGGAGATTAACATTGTGCGATTACATAATTTCCTACTCATATGATCGTTCCTGACGCACATAATCATCTGCCTTCTGCCTACTTCCTGAGATTGAATAAATGACATCTTATGCTATCCTTCCTGGTGTCTTCGGTCTGAATTAGTGACAGATTTATGCCATCCCTATTATGTAATCGTCCATCCGACAGCCAGGGCGACGCACAGGCTGGCTTGACAGATTAGGTATGAC